CGCAATTCGCTCACAGACGAAGCCCTTGTGGCCTGGGAGTGGCGTTCTGGCAGCGCGAGAACCCAAAAGTGGCGACAATTACAGGAATTGGATGACCCGCTCGGATTAGTAACATGATCCGCGGGCCCCATAGGGACGGGGCTCCCGCTTGAGACTTCCTTGCAATTCACCCACAGACGAAGCCCATGTGGCCTGGGAGTGGCGTTCTGGCAGCGCGAGAGCCCAAAAGTGGCGACAGTTTCAGGAATTGGATGGCCCGCTCGGATTAGTAACATGATCCGCGGGCCCCATAGGGAGGGGCCTCCCGCTTGACACTTCTTTGCAATTCACTCACAAACGAAGCCCTTGTGGCCTGGGAATGGCATTCTGGCAGCGCGATAGCCCAAAAGTGGCGACAGTTACAGGAATTGGACGACCCGCTCGGATTAGTAACATGATCCGCGGGCCCCATAGGGAGGGGGCTCCCGCCTGAGACTTCCTCATAATTCACTCACAGACGAGGCCCAAGGCGAGTGAGTGAGTGAGTGACTGACTGACTGACTGGTGGTGATGATGATCTTCACACTCTCTCACGCGCACACTCATCATCATCATATGTGAGTGCTGATGAGTCAGTGAGTGAGTAAGTGAGTGAGTGAGTGAGTGAGTGAAGGATGATGAGTGAGTGAGTGAATGAGGAATGAGTGATGATGATGATGGTGGGTTCCTGTTCCTGCGCGGGGTGTCCAGAGAAAACAAGAACCCCATTTTGGATGTGGGGAAAAACGCGCTCTCGCGTGGGAAATCCTCGCAATTTATTCAGATACCGCGCCCTCGACACTCAGGAGTCTCGCTCACGCTGTGGATTTCCTAACGATTTATATGAAAATTGCGCTGTCGCTCGAGACTTCCTCGCGGTTCATGCAGGACGCATGCTTCAGCAACCCGCCTGCACGACCTGGCCGCTTGTGCCCGCCTTCCCGACCTGCCTGTTAGGGTCTACCCTCCCGATGTGCCCGTCTGGTTTTGCCACGTGCTTTCTGCCCCTAGCCACCCTCCTGCTACTCCCCCTCGTGCCTCATCCTCCCCTCTACCATTTGTCCCTTGCTTCCATCCGTCTTCTCTTCCCCTGCCTTGGGGCTGCACGAGATCGCCTTGCAGGTTAGAAAGATAAACCCCCAAGGCGGCACGATCGAAGACGAAGAGGGCGGGTATCGAGGGTTTTGGATATACGTGGTGAATGGCACGCGAGCAGATACGAGCGAACAGTTTTTAACATGTCTGTTTAAATCTGTCTCACGATTGAAAAACAATTGCGTTTGTGGCCCCGTACCCACTAACACGCAGGGCGTTTTTTTTTGTGGGCGGCTGACGATGGGTTACCACCGCCAGCCCGGACGCAAGGGTTTCCCCCTGCGCCCGATTCGGCTGACGATGGGTTACCACCGCCAGCCCGGAGACAAGGGGTTACCCCTGCCCCCGATTCGGCCGAGGATGGGTTACCACCCCCGGCCCGGACGCAAGGGTTCCCCCCTGCGCCCGATTCGGCTGACGATGGGTTACCACCGCCAGCCCGGAGACAAGGGGTTACCCCTGCCCCCGATTCGGCCGAGGATGGGTTACCACCCCCGGCCCGGACGCAAGGGTTCCCCCCTGCGCCCGATTCGGCTGACGATGGGTTACCACCGCCAGCCCGGAGACAAGGGGTTACCCCTGCCCCCGATTCGGCCGAGGATGGGTTACCACCCCCGGCCCGGACGCAAGGGTTCCCCCCTGCGCTCGATTCGGCTGACGATGGGTTACCACCGCCAGCCCGGAGACAAGGGGTTACCCCTGCCCCCGATTCGGCTGAGGATGGGTTACCACCCCCGGCCCAGACGCAAAGGGCTACCCCTGCGCCCGATTCGGCCGCCGATGGGTTACCACCCCCGGCCCAGACGCAAGGGGCTACCCCTGCGCCCGATTCGGCCGCCGATGGGTTACCACCCCCGGCCCGGACGCAAGGGTTTCCCCCTGCGCCCTGCCGCCGCTTCGGCCGAGGATGGGTTATCATCCCCGGCCCGGGCGCAAGGGTTTCCCCCTGCGCCCGGCCGCCGTCGTCCTCCTCAATTCCTGTTCCTCGTCCTCCTCCTCCTCCTCCTCCTCCTCCTCCTCCTCCTCCTCCTCCTCCTGCGCGTCAGCTCCAGCTCGCATGCTTCGAGCTGGCTCAGCGCGGGGACTCCCGCGGGGACAGACCGGCGGGCTCCCGCCTGTGACTTCCTCGCGAGTCACTCACAGACGAGGCTCCCGCCTGATACATCCTCCTTATTCAAACCCTCCGGAGGCCAAAATTGACGACAGTTAAACGTTGCGGATGACCCGCCTCGGATTAAAAACGTGAATTGCGGGCCCCATAGAGAGAGGCTTCCGGCCTGAGACTTCGTCGCAATTCACTCACAGACGAGGCTCCCGCTTGATATTTCCTCCAGATTCACGCCGCAGGGGCCCAAAAGTGACGACAGTTACACGTTTCGGATGACCCGCCTCGGATTGAAAACACGAAGTGCGGGCCCCATAGGGAGAGGCTTCCCGCCTGAGACCTCGTCGCAATTCACTTACAGACGAGGCTCCCGCTTGATACTTCCTCCAGATGTTCGCCACAGGGGCCAAAAAGTGGCGACAGTTACACGTTTCGAATGACCCGCCTCGGATTAAAAACATGAGGTGCGGGCCCCAGAGGGAGGGGCTCCCGCCTGAGACTTCCTCACAATTCACTCACAGACGAGGCTCCCGCCTGATACTACCTCCATATTCAAGCCAGGGAGTGAGTGATGACGAAATGATGAATGAGTGAATGATGATGATGAGTGTGTGATGAATGAGTGATGATGATGCTGATGATGATCATGATGGCAACTGAGTAGGTGGTCGAGAGATTATGATGGAGATGGTGACGATGATGTTGAGAGTGGCGGCGGTCCTACCGTCGGAGGACCACTGCCTCCGAAGCCTACTGAGGATGAGTAAGTAATTGAGTGAGTGAGTGGGTGATCGAGTGGCGATGATGGTGACGATGATGATGATGAGGAGTGATGAAGGATTATGATGATGAGTAATGATGAGGGTGACGGTGGTTGATGGTGATGATGATGGTGATGATGATGAGTGTGTGCATGTGATGACGATGATGGTGGTTGATGGTGATGATGATGGTGATGATGGTGAGTGTGTGTGCGAGAGATAAAGAGAGAGGAAAGGGGGGTGTGAGATCCTCCGCGGCGTGTGCAGAGAAAACAAGAACCCCACTTTGGATGTGGGGAACAACTACAGAAAAAAAGGAACAAAGCAAAAAAAACCTAAGATTTCAAGGCTTCGTCCACCCCCGCCCCCCCAAAGAGAAAGTAGTGTCATCTGTGTTGTTTGTTGCTTTCGGTTGTTCCTTGATTCTTTTTTTGGGGGGGGGGGTCGGTGATACGCCTTTGATTTGTTTTGTGTTTTCCTTGTGTTTTCTTTGTTTGTCCTTGCCGTTGTAAAGAAGGGAGGACGGGGAAGGGAGTATGAAGGCGGATGAGGAGGAAGTGGAGGAGGAGGAGAGGGGGGAGGAGGACGAAGAGGAAGACGACACTTGACAATCGGCTCCCTCTGAAAAACGCACAGGTGCGGGAATACCCGAACGCCCATCTATATATATATATATATATGTATGTATATATATATGAAATTGGGATCGGTACAAATATACAACCGTATAGTGATATCGGAACTTGGAGGTATTAAATGGAAACGATCAACAGATGGTGATATCGATCGGTGGACACACCGATAGAAGCGTTTCGAAGGATGGTAAAGGTTGTCCCGATGGTTGTCCCAGCGATAGCTTCCCCCAATGTCCATATCGCCTTTCGTCTGGTCTAATTGGCATGTTAACCTCGTGGCCGACAATTGGAGAGACATCTCAAGATACTCAAGAGAAAACTCCATGTTGAAAAGGAACGGCTATCCTTTTGGCTGTGCCAAATCTTCAATATGTCCCGTCCTGCATCCCTGCAGCTGTCGCGAACATTTACATCAGGCGTATGTGCGCAACGCTAAAGCGATCGACACACGAAGGAATTTAACCGTCCAGAATCCTGGTATCAGTTGGAAGATTTTACAACGAATATGCACAAAACCATAACGAGAGCTGTATTCTGAAAACGTGTCGGCCCGCATCCGTGTAACTGCTGGGAACATTTGCAACGAATGTGCGCGACGCTGGCGCGAGACCCACATGTTGAAAACGACTGGCCCTCCATCCGTGCGGGAAGCTTTACACCGAACGTGCGCGGCGCTGAGACGAGTGCCACAGTTTGTAACGACCAGCCCCCCATCCGTGCAGATGTCTGAGCACTGTAGCCTAAGGACCACGAGCTGCCAGGAGGTCTCAACCGAAACGTTCAGCCCGGCCTGCGGACACAAGGAACGAGGATGGGAGAGGAGGAAGGAGGGAGGAGGGATGGAGGGATGTGGAGGAGCAGCAGTAGCTGATGTAGGAGGGTGACGGGGATACGTAAGTCAGGGAGGAAAAGAAGGCGGAAAAGGGAGGAGGGAGGAGTGTGAGCAAGATAAGGCGAGTGCGCTGATGACAGTTGTAAACACGAAGGCGTGCAAGCTCGAGGGCCACTACACGTGGTGCTCACCTCAAAACACCCGGCACCGCAACGACGATTGAATCTTTCTCGAGAATGGCCCCAACAGCAACACCGACGTGGGTCCAGTACGACTGGGACGCGCTCGATGACCACCGCGACCATTACCCCATCGTCACTAACCTGCGTTGGGCCAGACAGGCTTCAGCAACTAAAGAGGGCCACATCAAATCGGAGTTCGAAACTATGAAAGACCCATCCGAGTGCAGAACATCAGGGACCTGGCTGCTACCATTCCCACGGGGACCTGATCTGAAGAAATGAACAGCTCACGAAGAATTCTCGGGCGTTCACCGGTGCTGCCGAGGAGGCTTCTGGGGTGCAGACGCACCGGCCACGGAGAAGCGATGTCACTCCCTCGTCGATGGCCCTGATCTGGTTCCGGCGCGGGACGATGCGCACCCTGCGCAGGGTGGCGGCTGGCAGCGATGGGCTCAGGGTCTCGACCTTGGAACGAGTAGCTGCCAGGAGTTCCAACGGAGACTTTGCCGAGCGAGGTCGGGAGCTCCGTGGCCCCATGGCGCAGAGCACGTTGCAGAAGTCGTGCGGATGCGCCACGGGGGGTGCGTGGAGGGGGTCCGGCCGTCGACAGCTTGCATCTCGCCACGGTGCATTTGATCGTGAGGCCGGGAGAGGAAACTGCAAGTACTCCTCGGGGAAGATCGCGTCCAGCTCCTGCAGGATACCGCCGAGGCCATGCAACATTCAGTTGTTTGTGCTGCCCCGCGAGAGCAGTGGAGACCCGCGAAATGCCTCCTGGCGTTTGGCAGCCGCCCACCCCGAAAGCGCTGGCGGTGACCTTCCACGATGATAATGAGGCTGCGCCGCTTACCACCAACGAGGAGGTGGGCAGACTTGTCACTCCCGAAGAGGCCGTGAGAGAATCTAACTATCAGACTGCCTGACAACGTGCGCCACCTGGGCCCGCGAGCGCGGAGGTGATGACGATCCCCCTTGACATGGAGATCGCGCTCCGCCAAGGCAAAATCTGGAAAACCCTGGGGCCCGACGGAGTGATGGAAGAACTCTTTACGGCGGCGCTGGTCAAGGCCGCCCACTTGCTTGCCCCAACGAAAATGACAGCGACCTTCACCTGTAGGGGGCCCATTGCAGCCAAGACTGCCCAAGCCACTTGCTCCTGGAAGGGTACAAGGAGCCTCGGGGCCGCCACAGATCAGACAGAGGCAGGCACTCATGGCCAACCCTGTTTGTACACGCCACCCTCGCTAGCTTTGCCATAAGATTGAGATGCCTGTTAATGTTCCCCTTGGAAAGTCAACTGGGAAGAGTGCCTAAGAGGAGCGCAGATACCGCGGAACACATGGTGGCACGTGCCTCGTGGGCGTTCGCCGACCTCTGCAAGCACGGCTCGGCGAGCTCGTCCGCCGACCTCCGGGAAGGCGCTTTGCGGCGCCGCCCGTCGGTTTGCGGCAGTTCTCCCCCGTGGTGGCGAGGACCTTGAGCGCGTGCTGCAGAACCGCGAGTTACCACAGGTGCTCGCGGCAAGGATAAGACATCGACTCGAACCCGCCCCGTTTTCCGAAGCGAGTGTTGACTACGCCCACCTGGCTGACATGATCCGCGAAACCCAGGAAGGGCCCCTGTGGAGTGCCTGAAAAGACCCAGTGGGTTGCCCCGCGGATGGGGACGCGACGCGGAACGGTTTTCGTGGGAGACATTGTTTGCAGAGGCTTTGAGGGTGCGGAGGGGGATATTGAAATAGGATGTAAACTCAAGGCTTGGTGTGGGATGTCTTAAATAGCAAGCCACATTTTCGGCGCCCCGCTGATGAAGCCCACCGCATCGTTGGTTTTGTCGATGGCCTGACCGCCCCCCATTCTGATGCAGGCGCCAGGCGGGCTGCTGGCGTTGTGTGAAACCCCTGAACATCGTTTTGGAAGAGGTGGCGAAAAAAAGACTGCGCCTCAACGATGACAATACCGTGTTTCTGATTCGACTCCGCGGAGCAGGGAACAAGGCCCCCAGAGAAGTCTTCATGGAGAGGCCAAGGAAGATCGCGTCGAACAGATGGGGCGTTGTCGTGGCGGGTGTGACCGCCCAGAAATCTCTGGGAGGGCAGTCTCGTGAGGATGGGAATATCTGTTCCCGCGCACGAACACCCAACAACTTTTATCGAATCCGCTTCCCCTCATGGGGGCTACAACCGCACCCATCAACGAATGAACCGCAGCCGCCCTCTGGCAAAACGCGCGGACGTGGGCTCGAACCGCTCTGGGAGGAGGAGGACGAGTGAGGATGGAAATCTGGTCGGGGAGGTCTTCACCGAAGGAGGGCGGTAGCCACGTCGTCGGCCTGGCTGCCTATTCGTAGGTCCGTGGCCCCTCGTGGAGGCCTGGCGATGCATGCCAAACCGTCCTCCCCCTCCTCGTCCTCCTCCTCTTCCTCATCCTCCTCCATCCCCGGGTCCACGCTGTGGTTCAACGCTCATGCGTGGAACCCCTATCAATCACACACTCCGGCAGCGAGTGCAGACGGCACGCGCCAGACTGTACCATTGTGTCCTCAACCTCCAAAGGTCCAAAGCCACAGCAATGCTGACACCCACATCTCCTACGACGAGGTGGTGAGGAATACTGACAGGCTTCCGTAGGATATGGTGATCAGAGTCACGAGGCTGCGATATTTGAGCACGATGCTTCATCACGCGCCACCCATGCTGCGAATTCTCTTGGATGGATCGTGGAACGCGAAGGCCTGGCCAAAAATGTTGGAGGGGGATTTTAATGGCTCAGCTCCCACCTCCCGCCCACGGAACAACCTGGGGAGGGGGGGCCCGAAGACTGGATCAGAATGGCGCGCGCGGAGCCTCAACATTACCAATCGGTGGCGAAAATTGTCGTTGACCGTGCTCGGTCGGAGCATCGCGATGAAACGCATCGGCGATGTTGGTTGCGTTACGAATGTGGAAGGACGCTGCCGTCCCCACGGGCAGCTGCGGGCTCATCGCCCCGTGGCATCCGAGTGGATTTGACCCCGCCCACTTTGTCACCAGGATCGGATGCCCAGCTTGCTGGTATGATTACCACACGCACGGGCGATTGCTGAAACACGTCCAGGTCCGCACGTGATGGGAAGCGTGGGGAAGTTGGCTACCCCGCCCTGCCCCCGGCGAGGTTGACGAAGCGCGCGCCGCGCGACGGCAAGAATACCGAAGGAATAGATCCATGGATCTTCAGGACAATTTTGCTGCCGACCCCCCTATCCGAAGACCTGGGTCACCAATTTGCGTGCCAAATTTGCCGCCGCCGCACGCGCTTCAAGAGCCGAGGTTAACACTGGGTTGTTTGTTCCTCGGCCGGTCCGGGTCGCGAGGCCAAAATATGTGGCTCATTTCGGTGACGAGGAGGGGTACTCAAAGCAGACTCGAGGGTTCGCCGAGAGTTTTCTAACGAATGAGCTGGGCGCGTCCATGTGCTCGGGGTGGATTTCCCGAGCGAGGGGTGCACCAATACGAGCAATGGCGAGCCCGAGTGGGGACGTCAATTCATCGACCTCGTCCGCCGCGGGAAGGTGCTCGCTGTGCTGGCGAGACCGCCGTGGCACACATAGAGAGCTCCCGCCAGGAAAAGGGGGACTTTCACGAAAGGGCCTAGGGAAGTGGAAACCCCGTGGGAGGAAAGCACCCTGACCCCCCCAAAAATGGAACTGATTTTGCAGGAAAGCCTCATTTTGCGTATGGTCGTTCGGATTATCTACGAATGTTGGTCGTGGACGTGCCTTCAATTATGGTCCATCCTGGTCCGCAGTGGTGCAAGGTTTCCCCCGGGGCCGTAGGCGACTCGAGGAGGAGGCGGAGGAGGAGGAGGGGAGGAGGAGGAGGAGGAGGAGGAGGAGGAGGAGGAGGCGTAGGCGTAGGAGTAGGAGTAGGAGTAGGAGTAGTAGGAGGAGGAGGAGGAGGAGGAGGAGGAGGAGGAGGAGGGGCCAAGTGTCCAATCGTGCTGAGCGCTTCCCGAAATCAGGCGCCTCCTGGAGGCGGGGAGGCGTGGAGATCCACGGGCGGTGGACGCGTGCACGCTGGGAGAACCTGGAAGCCATGCCCGGTCGTGCTCGGCCGTGAGGTGCCCAGCGATGGGGCGCTCAGCGAGGGTAGGGGAACGAAGAGTGACATATAAATAAACCTCGGAGGTCCGCGCGGATTTCTTGGATCCGCGCTGGACCCCCCTGGCGGCGCCTCCAGCGCCTCCAGCGCCGCCCCTGGTGCGCTCCGATCCGAGCAATCCGCGCGGGCCTCCGAGTTTCTATGTTCATGTCTTTCTTCGTTCCCCTAGAGGGAGCACCCCTCCCGACTTCGGCGCAACCACGCGAGGGGGCACCTGGGCGTCATCACGGGGAGGCGGGGCCAAGTGTCGAGCAACAGGGGGCCTGAGGAGGGGGCGCCCCGGGCCCTCTTCTTGGTCGCTGCGACGGCGTGGATGACCGATGGACTGCGCCGCCTCCCTGGCATCGCCCTGGAGGACCCGGCGGAGCTCGACCCCGATGTCGAGCAGTGCGGCTCCCCCTCTGACCCCCTGCCTGCAGAGGCGCGGGCGGTGCGCGCCTGGGGCCGCCGTCGCTGGCTGGTGGATCCTCGTCGCCGCGGCTGGGCCTGGCTCGTTGGGGTCGGGGCCTCGGGGCTCGGGGGTGTCCAGTGCGTTGGCGCCGCCTGTCGGTCGTGCTGTCCTTCCCTTTCCCCGTCTTCTCTGTGCATGGGCCGCATGTCTTCTCTGCCCCGGCTTTATAGAAATACGTTTAGATGCATCGATGTACACAGATAGACATATATATATATACATACATAAATACATACGCAGATAGAGGAGGACGACGACGCTTACGAGCTGTTCACTATTATCGTCTATCCCGGCTCCTCCCTCCCCCTCCTCCGCCTCCTAATCGTTGTCCTCCTCATGCTCCTCCACAGACTTCTCCGTTTTCCTGCTCCACCTCCTCCGTCGTCTCCTCCTCATCCGCCCCCTTCCCGATGCTCGTGCCCCTCAAGTACTGACGCGCGCCAATCCTATGCCAGGAAGCTGGAACACAGGCACACACACAATGACACATGGCTGGAGCCACATGTGGAACATCCAGAGGCAATGCGTTGGATACACATGCTGAAGCCGGGCCTATACACGGTCATGGAAGGGCCGAGCCCTGGAAAGACATCTGGCCACACGTGTGCCCAGCTCTCGCACGAAGGCCAGCCGCGCCACGTGTATCCAGCTTCCTGGCATGCTCCTGCTCCTCCAGCAGCGAAGCGCGCCCCTCTTCTACGTATTTTACAAAGGAATAGACAACGGCATCAACACAAACTTTCGGAGCTCCGCGCGGATTTCTGGGAACAGCGCTGGAACCCCCCTCCTTGGCGCTTGGAGCGCGCCAGGGGCGGCGCCGAAGGCGCCGCCAGGGGGGTCCAGCGCAGCTCCAAGAACTCCGTGCGGAGCTCCAAAAAGTTTACGTTTGACCAAGATGTTATGTCTCTGCGTTCGGGCGCCCGCGGGAGCGTCTTCCCGCTCCTCAGCCTGCCCACCGCGTGCATGGAGACGCTGTCTCCCTCCTCCACGACGGCGGCGCCAGGCGGCCCCGCCCTCTCTATCTTGTAGGTCGTGCTCAGCTCGCCTGGGCCTCCGGAGACGTACAGAAAGCCGTCGTCGCCTGACCGTGGAGGGAAGGAGAGGAGGAGGCGGAACGTGAGGAGGAGGAGGAGGAGGAGGAGGAGGAGGAGGAGGAGGAGGAGGAGGAGAGAGGAGAGAGGAGGGAGGAGGAGGAGGAGGAGGAGGAAGAGGAGGAAGGAGGAAGAAGATGAGGAGGATGTGGAGGAGGACGAGGAGAAGAACGAGGAGGAGAGAGCGGGGAGCGGAGGAGGAGAAGAAGGTAGAGAGAAGAGGAGCGCCATCGCCACAAGGATTAAAAGTCTCATAGCAGTCAACGAAGCGCAAGTTTCGGCACCTGTAGGGCCGTGACGCGTTCGGTGGAGGAGGTATCGTTTGTCATATGTGCCTGCGCGGCTTTCACCACGCCAGGCTGGGGGGAGGAGGGAGGAAGAGAAGGGGGAACAAAAAGGACGAGGAGGACGGAGGATGGTGTAAGAACGGAGGAGGGCGAGGGAGCGCGAGGCGGAAGAGAACCAACCCTCGGATTGGTTGCACGATATCCGTCATTGGTATCATTGCTGCTCGCCTCTGTGTCAACGTTTTGGTGGGCTGGATTATCTCTGGGGTGTGCCGTGCTATGCTGGCAGGATCGTCTCCTCGGGCAGTCGCACCGGCCGAGCGGAGAGGAGCGGGAGGCCTCGAACCAAATGGCGAGCTAGCCTCCCCCTTGGGGTGTCGACCTTCTCAACATCAGTGGTTATGTTTGGATGGTGTTCCGCTGCTGGGTAAGAGTGTAAGATTCTGCCGGAGAGAGAGAGAGAGAGAGAGGGAGAGAGAGAGAGAGAGAAAAAAAAAAAAGCGAGAGAAAGAGAGAGAGAGAGAGCAAGAGCGCAATCGAATTTCATATTTCTACGGAGATGGAGGGAGGGAGATAGAGAGTGAGAGCAAGAGAGAATACAACGGCCTTCACTTCAACCCAAGAGAGCAATCGAGTACTTGAAATATGCGATTGCTCTCTCGCGTTGAAGTAACCGGCCGTTGTGAGGACGTTCGCTCTGGCATTGCCTCAGGGGGCCTCGGGAAGCAGGTTCGCCAAGCGCGCCATGCGCCCAGCACATCGTCATGCTCGATGGGATCCCGCCGTCAGCATCAGGAGCAAGAGGTCGTGTCCACGGGGATTCGTCGGCAGCCTGGTGCGCCTTGCACGAACCTTCTCCTCCAACGCTGCAGTCTCGTCGTGACGTCGGCCCCTGCTCGACCACTCGGCCTGGGCAGCCTCCTCGTCCTGCGTCGTTGACGGGCTGCTTGGGGGCCGGGAGGCGGCCACTCGGACGCCGAACGCGACGAACAGCAAGCCGTCGCGACTTGACAGCAGCGGCTGGAGCCCAGGCAGGGCTCGCGCGCCCTCTGCTGCAGCGCGGGCCTCTCGCCTCCTCCGCGGCGGGCAGCGCGGCGGGCAGCGCAGGGGGGCACCTCGTGGCCCCTCCCGGGCCGGCCTCTGGGCGCGCCGCAGCGGGGAGGCGGCGCGAGGACGCGCGCACGCATGTCCTGCCTCGGCCGCCTATCGGAGGAGACGGTCGGGGCGAATAGCCCAGGGGCGGGCAATGCCCGCATTCGCCCAGGAGCCTTCTCAAAGACATGGATCATCGGCGCACCTGGATACGTGCATTGCTCGCCCCTGGGCCATTCGCCCCTATCGTCGCCTCTGAGTCTACCGCTCTGCGTCAGGGCGGTGGAGGAGGAGGAGGAGGAGGAGGAAGAGGAGGAGGAGGAGGAGGAGGAGGAGGAGGAGGAGGAGGAAGAAGAGGGGGAGGGGGAGGAGGAGATGGAGGAGGAGGAGGAGGAGGAGGAGGAGGAGGAGGAGGAGGAGGAGGAGGAGGGGGAGGAGGAGGAGGAGGATGATGAAGAGGAGGAGGAGGAGGAGGAGAAGGGAGGAGGAAGAGGAGGAGGGGAGGAGGAGGAGGAGGAGAGGAGGAGGAGGAGGAGGAGGAGGAGGAGGAGGAGGAGGAGGAAGGGTCGCCTAAGCCCTAAGCCCTTCGGAGAAACCCTCCACCTGCGTCCAGGCGGTGGCTCGGCGCCCAGCCCATCTAGAGGCGCGCAGGCGGGCGATGGCGGAGGGCGCGCCGGGAGACGGCCGGAAGGGGCCGCGGAGGACCGCCGGCGCGCCGGCGGGCCGGGGCGCACACCCCTGCCAGAGCCGGGCAACAGGATGGGGCGTCAAGCCGACTGGGGCCCCGTTGTGGAGGCACCCGGCGAAGCAGGGAGAAGGCAGAACAGCAACAGCGCGCGCGGCCAAGCCTCCGGAGACGGAAGCGCGCGGGGGGCGAAGTCAGCGCGAGGGTAGGTGGTGGAGAGGGAGCTGCTGGGCGCAGGGGCGCGAACAGCAGACCGAAGTCCAACATGCGGACGACGCGCACATACACACACATTTCCTCCAGCGCCTAGGGGGGCGCAATCATCGGGTCAAGCTCAACCAAGACGGGGCGCTGTCAAATTCAATATACCACCTTGCGTGGCAGCGTGAACCAAGCCGAGGCTCCAAGAATCCGAGGGGCGGATATACGGAAATTAGGACTAATACATTTCCAGACTCAGAACTCAGAACTGCAAGTATCGTTGTCGTAACTCGTGGTCGATGTCTAGGTTGGAACGTCAACAGAAATCTGCAACCAAAACAGCGGCGGCAGAAGCAGGCTGCTGAAAAAAAGAAACAAAAGGAAGGGGGAAGAGACGACACTATTAAATCTAAGAAAATCTCCGCAATTGACCCTGGAATCCAGATTTGCTTACATACGTCGAGAAAACTCAGACACTAGTGTGGAAGCCACTTTTTCGTAATACATCGCATGGGTATATCTGACCGCGGAGCAGCCAATGCAAGGCGCATACAAGACAGGAGGCCGTTATGAGAGGCAACGATAGCCAGGGACTGGCACAAAAGGGGGGAAACAGCGACCCGGAATCGGCAATACATGGCCGGCAGGTCGGTGCTGGGCCCCCGATCGTGAAACCGCACCTTCCTGGGCGGGGTGGGGGCTGTCAGGCCCCTATCGGCGGTCAATGGGCGATGAGTGGGCGATTGGTGGTCGATACGTCCCCCCTATGCACATCCTTAGGTCGAGCGTGTCCTCCTACAGACGGATCTTGGTCGAAAAATAAAAAATAATCAGAAGATCATCAACACATGCTCACACATATATTAAAAAATCGTCCCCTGACGATTTTTTTACTATTTTTGATATATTCCTCCTGTAGAGGGACAGGCCCGACTTCAGCCTATCCCCCCCCTATCGTTGCCCCCTGACGTCGGACCGGGGAGAGAGAGGGGCGGAGGGGAGCGAACGACCGCACGCAAGCCGACAGAGCGCCGCGAGAGGCGCGGCGCGCGAGCGCATAACGGCGAGGACGACGAGGACGACTAGGACGAGTGGGAGAAGGGCCCGCCGAGCCGACGCAAGCGAGCGAGACACAAGCGGGCAAGTGTTCCGTCGCGGCGCGGCAGAGGCAATCCGCTCGCGCGCGCAGCAACGCCAGGCTGCAGAGTCGCGAAGTAGCCCGCGTGCAAGAGGGGAAGAACAGGGAAGGGAGGGCGGCAGCGGAGGACAGGAAAGGGACGCGGGGGCACTCTCACGCGGTGGAGCCGCGGGGAGCGCGCGGGGGCGGCCACGAGCGGACAAGCAACACGGGAGGAGGACGAGCAGGCGGCTAGACACTCTGGCGACGCAGGCCCGCGCTGAGCGCGCGACTGCTGTGGTGCATCTGGACGGGCCGTGGGCGCCAACAGCCCTGGGACCGCCAGCAGCGGGTCTCCTTGTGGAGGTCAGGGCTGACATCATCGTCGACCCTGGTTCATTATCTGAGAATGGTGAGCCTAAGTATATTGTCGTTCGAGGGTGAGACTCAATTCGTTATCTTTATGGCGGAGTTGCCGGCCACTCTCCCCACGAGCTCTATTACTTGGCTCCAACAAAAGTTTCCTTGGAAACTCGCAAGCGGAAGAATATGTATGTATACCCGTCAGCAAAATGAAAAGTCGCGCGCGCGTGCTCAGCGCTCCCACGCACGCGATCCCTTGACGCCCCATGGCCACCACATGCTTCCAGGAAGGCCTCAGGCCACAGACGATAACGTCCAGACGACCCCAGGATGATGCCACCCCAACACGATCCCGCCATGGATTCTGGACCGTCTCAGGCCGACTCGCAGATGACGAAACACATGAGCAACGTGTGACGCCGAGATGGCCCGATGGCAACAAGATGGATCCAAGCGCGCCCAAGGTGACCCCAGAATGACCATGCGACGACTGCGTGTTCCAAACGCGACCGGGAGATGATCTCAAGATGACCTCAAGACGGCCCCGACACGGCAAGGGTACTGCAACTTATGACCCCCACTTTACTTCGAGCCGATCCCAGCATGGCGGGATCCGTGAACGACCCGGGATTTTACTCTACTCCATTTTTTATGGGTGGGATTTACCGTCCTGAACTAAACTTATCATACTAAAGCGGAATAAGCCAGGCGGGATCCCGCCCGGCCAACGGAAGAAGACTACGTTGCTAGGCTCCTACGGGGGTAAAGGGGTTCGGAAGGGGCGTCGTTTACTTCCGCTGACATCCGCAAGCCTTCCGACGGCCTTCCCCCGTCTTCCGCCTTGTTTTACTTCCGTCGACTTCCGCCGGCCAGCGTCGTGATGAAAATTCAAGGAACTTTCATTGGGCCGGTGTATTATCTCTCCAGAATGGAAGCCCAAGTTCGCTACTCCAGAATAGTTAGCCACCGCACTTCATATTCCCGGAACATTGAAAGCCCATGTTAATATCTATTTGACGTCAGTATTGCTCGTGGCGCGGCGACATAGCGCAGGTTTTGAACAACAGAAACGATGCAGGGCCACGACCTGAAACGGGACACGACACAATCTGCGCAGCCGTTTTGTCTCAAGGCCAGGCTACAGCCTTAAGGACGAGGCCAGGCACAAGCTTCAAGGACGAGACATCCGGAGACATTACTCTCGATTCCAAAAATTTCCGACTACCCTCAACGCATATATTAGTTTTCTCTTGCCTCACAGCGCGATGGCGGCAGGTGCGACTGCAGCCCACACAGCGTCAGCCAGTTGTCTCACTACGCCAACTCGTCCGCATACGCGGCAAAACGGGACGCCTGTGGGAGGGGAGCGCATCCAACGCCAGCGCCTTCGTAGTCCTTCGCAGACAATGGGCGGTCTCAATGATGCTTCGCCACCTCGTCCTGAAGCGCATCCCATGGCATCGCCTATCACTCCAGATCGCGACGACACCTTGCTCGAAAATTTTGCCGAACTATTAGGCGCAAAGCTGAAAGCGGAGCTCGGCCCGATCAAAAACACAGTGCAGTGTTTACAGGAAGATTGAAGACGCTGCATGACTCATCTGGCGCACAACAGGCATCCATTGCATCATTGGAGTCAGATGCGAAGAAGACATAGCAATATGTGAAACAACTATGCGCGATTCGAGGGGCCACTTTGATGCAGTTGTGCCTTCGTCGGGCGTGCCTGTTCCACCCCCGCGTTCTTCAGGCCACGGGGAAGACGGCGCAGCAGTCTTCATCGGGGGGCTCAGCAGTTTCCACAGCAAAGACGATACAGGACGCTGTTTATTGATCAATCTTGGCCAGCACATGTCCCAGCACCTTCGGAGACATATGTAAGCGGAGAAGAGTTTCAAGGGGGGCGTTTTGCAACGTATGCCACCACCGGGGAAGCGCGGGCTGTCGTCGGCAAGATGAAGAACGCAGTCATGAACTGCACGGGCGCAGAGATTGCAAGGGCGCAAAGATTGTCGCTAAACTGGACCCCCCTAGGAGACAAGGGGGCCGCAATCTTGTTTGTTGGAGCGGCGCGTAATCGCTGGCGAGCTCGGGATTTGATCGGAAAGATTCATGGGCTGATCTCGACTATCGCGTTCCCCGATGCGGCGACAAAGTTGTTCTCGTAGCGAACGTCGACGAGCCGAAGTTTGTCGCAAAATTCAAAACTGCGCGGGCCGAATATTTTCTTTGCGCCAGCGAGGCCCCGACGCCAGCGCATCGCCGCAACTCGCGCCCGCCTCGGCGCCACGAGTGGCAACTAAAATCGCGACGACGACGCCTCGGGGCAATCCCGGGAACGCCCGCCCCCTCTGATTATCCCTAGGCGGGCAATGGCGCGCGACAGATCCAGCTGCCTGGAAGGAACCAGCAGAAAGAAGGCAGCATGCCAGCCAGGAGACGCCACTGGCTGGGGAGGAACGCCTCTTCGCGGGGGAACTGCTCATGTGCGGGAGCAGCCCAGACTTTGCGACGCGCGCGGTGCCGTCGAGCCTGAGTGCGAAGACGGGCCGCAGACTGCTGCTGGGGGGCGCCAGGGAGGCTGCAACGGACTGAAGTGTGCGCGATGAGGAAGGCATCGCGAAGCATGGAGCTGAGGAGACACTGATCAGGGCCCATACCTTGCAACAAGAGGCAACGGTGAAACCATGAGACCCACTAGACCACGAATCGTCAAGGCCCATGCAAGTAGAATAACTGTAACAGCCTGGGGCAGACAAGGCAATGCTGAATGCCATCTGGGTCGATCAGGGGCTGGTTAGGGGAGGGGCAATGAGAATGCACCCGCGAGGGGCAGCGTAGAACCTCGAGCTCGCACGGACGCAGCGCGGTATGATACGGATGCTGGCCAGGGGGAGATGCGTGCTGGCACGCTTCGTGAGGGCCTTGGCCCTAGGCCCTAGGCGCAGACGCGACCAACGCCCAGGAGAGTAGCCGCAGGGATCGAGGCGTATGCGCGACGGAGAAGAGCTTCAAGTGGGGAGGCGGCGGGAGCGTGATGACGTCTCAACTCGCGCAAATACTGCTTCTGCACGTCAGAGCGCTCGCATTCAAAAAGTAAGCTGCGAGCCATGAGCTCGCCCTGAAAGAGAAAGAGGTGCGTGAGAAAGCTGGCGGTGCACCAGCCAGTGAGTTGAAGATGCGGGCACTGGTCATAATCGGCAGAGACACTTGAAAGCACAGAGCGGATGCGTGGAAGTTCGTCGCCACGAACAGTAGAACGGGCTCAAGTCGCATCTGCAATGGGGGAGAGTCTGGGAAATTCGATGGGGAACCCATCCATAGTGAAGTTGGTACACATGTCGGCGCAGTGTTAGGCCAGCAGATAAGAGCCGCACGCGCGAGTGGTAAACTCCGTCGAGTTCACGAGAGAGCTGGTGAAGCCGGAGCACGAAATACAGGAGCGAGACACAGAAGCTCTGAAAAGTGCAAAGGGGTGGGCCAGCCCAAGCCCAAGGCCGCGAATTTCACGAGCACGCTTCCTGAGCTTGAGCGCGGCTCGGCCCTGAGCGCGGCTCGGCCCTGAGCGGCGCCCGCGGTTTTCGCTCGGATCGGGCTCGGTCCTCCGACCCGACGCACTTCGAAAAACAGTGCGAGGAGGAGGAGGAGGAAGAGGGGGAGGAAGAGGAGGAGGACGAGGAGGAAGAGGAGGAGGAGGAGGGGGCGGATGAGAAGGGGGCGGATGATGATGAGGAGGAGGAGGAGGAGGGAGGGAAAGGGGGAGGGATGGGGGGGAGGAGGGAGGCGGAGGACGAGGATTCTAGGTCGCCCCCCGTTTGGGCGTCAGGCTCCTTTCAGATAGCTGAGCCTGGGAGGGGGAAGCCGAGGCCCTCGACGAGGGGAAGCAGGGGGATGAGGAAAGGACGTTGTTGTGAATGGACCTGAGACGATCAGACATGATCACATCAAACTGGACGCGTCCGAATCCGAGGAGGGGACGACGATGATGCGAGGACGAGGAGGACGAGGAGGAGGAGAAGGAGGACGAGGAGGAGGAGGATGAGGAGGAAGAGGAGGGGGACGAGGAGGAGGAGGTCGAGCAGCAGCGAAGCCGCGCCGCTGCCTGGCCACGCCGCCGCCCCGAAGACGAGCGCGGCAAGCAGCACCTGCATGCCGACGGGGCCCATTCGTGCGAGGGGCGGGCAATGCCAAGGGGGGGATCACCACTACGGCCAGGGCCAGGCAACGCCTCCTCCTCCATCCCTTTCCCTTCTAAAACATCCCCGTCGCAGCCAGAGACTGGTCGGTGGGGCGGGCCAGGCGCTTCGCCCGATACTTCCTCGCCGCTCAACATGCTGAAGCTTGCACTTGCAACAGCTTCATGGATGGAGGGCGGGTAGTTTTCAAACATGGTTATCGTTTTAGCGCCGTTCACATTCGTCATACAAGTTCAGAAGGGCTTCGCGGATGGAGAGCGGGTGGTTTTCAAACTGTGGGTCTCGCTTTAGCATCGCGCGCACTCGTCTTAAAAATTTGCCTTCGCTTCACGGACGGAGGGCGACCGTTTCCAAAGTGCGGGTCTCGCCTCAGCGCCGCGCGCATTTGTTTTAAACGACCCCAGCGAAGCAACCGAATCGCAGCTAAGGTGTCAAGATGTCCAAAAAGGCACCACAGATGGAAACGATGATGCTGATATTGCCAATGATAGTCATGATGGTGCTGATGATTGCCACAACGGAACTCCACGATCCCCCGAAACAGGAGGAATATCTCTGCTGGCCCCGTGGGTCGTGGAATGAGCGACTCCACCCAAATCATCCGATACAGATTTTTTCTAGCAACGCTTCACAGGATCTGGTCGCGACCGACATGCCGCAAATGCGCGCCCTATGCCAGCGTCGAAGGAGTTGCACGCACGATCGACATGGCGCCTGAAAGCCAGCAGCGCACTGCCGAAAACTGTCTCGGTCCTACCGATGTTCGATCGTCGTTGACGAACTCCATGATCGCGATTGCTGGATTTCGACCAGTGCGGACGTCGGTGGCAGTGGTGCTTGCGCAGATTCTCGCGTTGACGATCTTCGTTTTGCCGAGTCTCGTGGTTCCGAATTTCGATATCCCGCTGCCGAATTTAATTTCCCGCTACTGGTTTTCGCTTCGGAATCGCTACCGAATATCGTGTCCCCACTACCGTACTTCACCCTCCAAAACCTGTTCGCGTTCATTCGCGACCCAAAACTCGACGAAAGGCCAACTCCCGAAAACAACTGGCATCGGAGGAGAGGAGGGGGGAAGGTGATGGCGATGTTGCTCCTCCCTCGGCATTCGCGGAACATGGCCCACATGGCGCGCGCCGCAAACTGAGCGTCGCCCTTGATCTCGGGGTTGGCGCAGCGGGCTGAGCAGCACCGGTGTCGCGAGAGCATGGGCGCAAGAGGCTGAGCAGCACCGTGTTCGAAGAGATGGGCGGTCGATTGCCTGACTTGGCGTTCTGCATCGTGTCGTCGCGCGGGATACACAACTCTGAGCCGCACTCGTAGGCGATAACGTGGAACACCTCCGTGACGCACCTGCCGGTCTCACCGCGAGATCCCGGAGTTGGCTCGTCTCCGCTCACGGAACAATCGGTTACCCACGTGCGCGGTCGACTGGATCGTTTCTTGGTGGTCCGCGACGCTGTCCTAACCCCCCGGCGCGGCGTCGCATTCGCAATCGTCAAAACTGCGTCAGTTTGACAGCGGCGGCCATTCCCAGCGCATTGCTTCGAATCCGTGACTGCGTCGGGCAGCGTCGTGAAGCGCCTTGCCGACTTGCGCGCGGATTTCCGAATCAGCATCGCCAGGAAGTACGTCCGCGCCGATGTCACAAACCGCGTCTTTCACAAGGCCGTCAGAAACATCAATATCGGTGCAAAACAACTCACGTCAACAATCCGCACGCGGTCGTCCGTGTTGGCTCCACTTCGGAAAACCGCAGTTCGGCTTACACTTCCCAGCTTTCCAAAAATGATTGGCCGCCCTCCCTTGTTTCGCCCGTCAACGGCGGCCCGGCCTCCCGCAGTCTGCGCCGACGTTGAATTGCGTCGTAACGTGGCCGCTCCATCGGCAATTTCTAATTGCCGTCTCTGCTTGCAGCGCTGGCTGAGCTGAATTGATGGCACTGCCGGCGGCGGGTTGCGCATCGTCTCCCGGGCTTTTCCCGACGCAGGCAGTTTGTGCTGCTGCTGCTGCTGACAGCGACGTCTGCATCTTCGCCAATTCTAGGATGCTGCGCCAACGTGGCAATTCTTTTGTGGGCATGCTGACGCTGGAATCTGTGAAACGTGATTTGTTGATGTAGATGAACCAAGGAAAGCGCGTTTCTTCATCATGGCGCCGTGCAGCGGAAATAAATTTGAAACACGAGATGGGTCAAGAAGCCAAATCACCAAAGTGATCGCGGACGTGATGGCGTAGAGAAGCCCAGCGTTCACCGACTGCTGCTTCCAATAAGTTTGGGCGGCATGGCGGGCCGGAGTCTTTGAATCGACGGCCTGGGCGCCGTGGGGCCAAAACGACTACGGATAGCACAGGCGAAGGCAAACCATAGGCACATGCATAAAACACCCAAGATTCGAACCCAACGAGGGGAGCAATTTATAGGCATATGCGTAAAACTCAGAAAGACTTCGAGCCACAGGAGAAGGGAACCCGATAGGCACATGCGCATAACATTTAATATTCGATCCACAGCAGAAGCTGAACCTGTAGAAACCTACGTGAAACGCCCAAGAATCGAGCCCCAATAACATGGATACCTTTCAGGCACGTGCGTAAACACATCGGATTCGAACCACAAGAGACGGGCAATCTATAGGCACATGCGTACAACAACGTTTTCCGTCGCAACGCGGCAGAGGCAGTCCGCACGCGCGCAGGCGGTCCGGGCATCGGAAAACGCAAACTAACTGGCGGCAGAATGCGGGAAACACTACGAAAACGGCTGCGGGGCAGGAGGGCAACCGGGCGGCCAGCCAGTGCACCGCTGGCAGCGGGCGCGGGGCGGCGTCACGGCCGCACCCAGGGGCTGAAGCAGGGGCTGCACTGCACGAGATGGAGGAAGCATCATACCAGGGTAGGACGGAATGGCCACGCCGACGACGTCCCAGTCCAGCGGGGCCAGGAGGTAGCTGAACCCCAGGCATGCGCAAAACACATGGGGTTCGAGTCACAGGAGGAGGAGCAATCTATAGGCACAGACGTAAAACACATAGGATTCGAGCCGAAGGAGGAGGGCAATCTATAGGGACAGACGCAAATCGCACAAGATTCGAGCCGCAGGAAGAGGGCGATTTATAGGCACACGGGTGGAAACACATCGGACTCGATCCATAAGCTAAGGGGCAATATATAGGCAAATACGTAGAACACATAAGGTTCGAGCCACAGGAGGGGGCCACTCCATAAGCACATACGTAAAACACAAGCTTCGACCCACAGGAGAGGGGGCAATCCATAGGGCCTATGGATTGCCCCCCTCCTAGGCATATAGATGGCCGCGGGAAAAAACAATCTATAGGCACATGCATGAAACACACCGGATTCGAGCCACAGGAGAAGGGCAGTCGATAGGCACATACGTAGAACACATCGGATCCGAACCACAGGAGAGGGGCACTCTATAGGAACATATGTAAACACACAGGGCTCGAACCACAGTGGAAGGGCAATCTACAGGCACAGGCGTAAGGCACATAGGATTCGAACCCCAGAAAAAGGGGAAATCTATAGGAACATCGGAGTGAGGGGGCTGAACCGAACGGTCATTCACTGTCCCTGGGCGCGTGGCTGAAGTGGAATTCCGCGATGTGGATTCGTGTTGTTGTTATTGTTGTTGTTGAACTCTCATTTCTGAAAATAATTATTGCTGATCCCCCCCACCGGTGCATACTGTTTTTTCTCGATCAAAGTGTGCCCCTCGACGCTCGCACCCTGTTTTTTGACAGAAAAATCTTCCTGCTCAAACTGAGCCCCTGGCCCCCGGGTTATAACAACAACAGCTCCCGCCTGAGATTTCCTGACAATTTAGCCAGGACCTCCGCTCCCGCCCGAGACTTCCTCGCATTTTATTCAGGAATCGCGCTCTCGCTTGGGACTTCCACATAATTTATTCAAGAATCGCTCTCCCGGCGCTCTGGAGTCGCGCTCTCGCGGGAGACTTGCTTGCAACTTACTGAAGAATGGCCTTGCGTTGGAATTTCTTGCAATTTGCCCAAGCGCCGCACTGCCGACACCCAGGCACCCAGGAGTCGCGCCCGTTGTGGCCCCACGTGCATGCCCTTCGTGGCCCCGCTGTCACCATGTGTGCCCCCCTCACTGTCCTACGTGGCCCAGCTGCTACCCTCAGTTGCCCCATGGTTGCCTTCTGTGGCCCCGCATTATCTGCACTTCGTGGCCCCCGCTCGTTCGCGCTCTTCGTGGCCCCATACGCATTCCCTTCGTGTCCCCACTGTCGCCCTTCATGGCCTACTTCGTGCCCTTCGTGGCCCTGCTGTCGTTCTCTCTCGCTCTCGCTTTCGCTCGTCGTCGCCGTCGTCGTCGTCGCCGCCGTCGTCTTCGACGTCGTCGTCGTCGTCGTCGTCGTCGTCGTGGTCGGTCCCCTGTCCGTCCCTCTTGGGGTCGGGTCGACGGTCCGCAGCCGCCCCGCCGATCAGCGCTGCCACTGGCCGACGGTCCGCGGCCGCCCCGCCGCTTGCCGGGGCCCGGCCTGCAGGGAAGAAAGGTATACCCCCAAAAAGGGTTCGATCGAAGACGAAGAGGGCGGGTATCGAGGGCTCGGGAAATACGCGTTATTGGACACTCGATCATATAAGGGCGAGCAGTATTAAATGTATTGTTGTTGTTGTTGTTGTTGTTGCTGTTGTTGTTGTTGTTGTTGTTGTTGTTGTTGTTGTTGTTTTTGTTGTTATTGTTGTTGTTGTTGAACTCTCACTCTTGAAGAATAATTACGTATTGTTGATCCCCCCTCATCGGTGCACATGGATTTTTTCGATTGAAGTGCCCCCCCCGGGGCTCACGCCCTGTTTTTTTGACAGGGAAAGTCTTCCTGCTCAAACTGGCCCCCTGGCCCCCGGGTTACAACAACAACGGTTCCCGCTTGAAACTTCCACACAATTAAGCCAGGACCCCCGCTCCTGCCCGAGACTTCC